ATGTTTGCTCCATCCTCAATAAGACATCCCTTCAAATATTTAAACAGGGCTAACAAATCACCTCTTAACCTTCTCTTCCCCAAGCCTAACATACTCAGCTCCCTAGGTCTCTCTGCATACAGCATGGTTTCTAGACATTGTTCTAGTCACCCTCCTTTGGACATGGTCTAGTTTCTCAACATCTTTTTTGAATTGTGGTGCCTAGAACTAGATGCAGTATTTCAAGTGAAGCCTGATCAAAGCAGAATAGAGTGGTACTATTACTTCTCTCAATCTAGATAATGTACTTCTGTTGATGTAGCCTAGAATCTCATTGGTGTTTTTAGCTGCAGTATCACAAAACCCTATAGCACCCCACTGATCACTTCTCTCCAGAATGAAGAGGAGCTATTGCTGAGAATCTTTTGGGCTCAGCTGTTCAACCAATTACAAATCCACCTAATAGTTGCATTGTCTATCCCACATTTTACTAGTTTGCTTGCCAGAATATTATGGGGGACCTTGTCAAAGGGCTTACTGAAATCAAGATATGCTACATCCACAGCCTTTCCTACATCTACCAAGCTGCTAATTTTATCAAAAAAGGAGATAAGACTGCTCTGGCATGATGTGTTTTATTGAAATCCATGTTTACTTTTTGTAATTATGACATTCTTTTTCTAAATGCTTATAGATTGTTTAATGAGCTGCTCTAGATTCTTTCCTAGTATTAATGTCAGGCTAACCAGGCAGTAATTGTTTGGGCTGTCTTTTTCCATTTTTGAAGATGGGGACAACATTTGCCCTCCCTTAGTCTGCTATGACTCCTGTTCTCCAGGAATTATCAAAGATTATTGCCAATGGCTCTGAGATTGCCTCTGCCAGTTCTTTTAACACCATTGGATGTGGTTCATCTGGCCCTGGAGACCTGAATTCATTTAGATTAACCAGGTATTCCTGTACTATCTCTTTACTTATTCTGTGCTGTATTTCCCCTATTGTGTCCTTTGCTCCATTTTCCTCAAGTTGGCACCCTTTTCCTTTTGTGAGAAGACTAAGGCAAAGAAGGTGTTGAATAGTTCTACCTTTTCTCTGTCTCCGTCAGCATGCAATGGCCCTTACATTACCTTCTTCTTCCTTTTCTTGTGGACATAACCAAAAAATTCCTTTTTATTGTTCTTAACCTGTCTAGCAATCCTGAGTTCATTCTGCACTTTAGATTTTCTGACCCCCCCCCCCCCATGTGCTATCTATTTGTTTTAATTCCTCTTTGGTACAGGCAACCAAAGAAAGTACCGCAAAAGTGATGGTGGAGGTGGAATCTTGATTTCATGGAAACAAATAGCATGGATTGCATTTCCTGTTTTTAAGGCATTTGAAGTAGAGGTGGAGCAAGATCCTGAAACAGAACTACATAGGGGGAAGAGACTTCAAACCTCACCTAGTCCAAACTTCTAGTAATACAGGGAATCCAGAGATCAGAAATTTAGGACAAACAAAAAAGATTTTTCAACATGCTGCACAACTGAGCAACTTTCTTTTTTCTTATAAACAAAACTATACCAATTTAAACCATGATGATGGTGGTGGTGATGATAGCAGAGAAGTGAATGCAATGTGTAGGCTAGAGTGCTGGACCAAAATCAGGGAGTCCCAGGTTCAAATTCCCACCTGGCAATGAACCTAGTGGGTAACTATATGCCAGTTATTATGTCAGACTAATCTACCTAACAGGGTTGGTGTAAAGATAAAATATAAAGGGTATATGCATAAGGGTATATACCATATGTATATGGTATATGCATACGATTTTTTGTTTGTGGGTGGGTGAGATAGATTTATCCCAGGATGTAGAGGTCTTACTGGATTAAGCAGCACTTAGAAATTTTGAAAATATCTTGCCTATGGGAGTAGATTTCTAAAATACAGTTAGAAACAAGACATGATATTGAATTTCTCAGTAGCAAGGAGTCAGGCATTTTGATGTCCAATTGCTAAACTACTTAATGGTTTGTTATGCCAGTCTCCATTCCTCTTGGGAGAGTTTTCCTCCTCCTGGTTCCATACTACTCTGTTTTGATGAGCTTAATGTAAAACAGCTGTTACTGTTTTCCTTTGGTTCATACCACTAGATATATGAAGGCCATATGTAAGTGAAGTAAATAGGTCCCAGGCAGAAAACTGTTGTAGGCTCAATCTGGGTTTCTATGAATGTTTATGGGAAACTTCCTTTCCAAAGATCTCCCTTCTGACCCTGTGGTATCTCCCAAAATCTTCCAAAGAGTTCCCTTCTGATATGCATGCAGATTTTTTTGGTCATATAGGTCCTAATCCATTGTGGTTACCAACTGGGCTGCTTTTTTGAATGGGAGGATTCAACTTATGCAGGGACAACAAAGAGTCTTGAGTCAGTACTTTGGTGGAGCCAGGGCCACAGGGTTGGGGTGGCCAAACTTTCTGATGAACAGGGATGAAGACATCATCTGCTGCCCATGTCACATTTCCCTGTTTTTCCTCACCTCAGCTGCAATTATGACAGGAGTTGAGGGAGATGAGGTGGAGGTGTTGGATTTTCCCCAATAATATATTATGGGAACTAATGAAAAGCCAATGTGATGTAGTGGTTTGAGTACTGGACTAGAACTACAGGAGACCAGGATTCAAATCTCCACTCAGTCATAGAAGCTCATTGGGTCACACTCTCTCAACTTCTAAGGAACACAAAGGCAAACCCTCTCCAAACAAATCTTGCCAAGAAAACTGAGTGATAAGTTTCTTTTTGCCATAAGTTGGAAGCAACTTGGAGGTACACTATAACCATGAATCCTTATAGTAGTATTTTGGAGTGACTTTGTCTTGGACGGGTAGCTCAGAACCATTACTTTTACAAAAGGATTCATGTCTGGAAGGACATGAAACATGCTCAGACTGGTTTTCTTGATATGGCTCAACACAGCTGGTTATATTTTTGTTCAGTCACCCCTCCATTTGCACTTGAGGTCTGCAGTTTTGCATATTCTTGGAAGGGTGAAATCAATAGGGTGTGAACCTGCTGGCTCATGCCCCATTCAAGCCTGTGAGTCTTGAATATTGGTGAGTCTCCATTTTCATGGGGGTGGTCTGGAATAGAGGACCAATTGTACTCTCTTCAGGTGCCCAGGTGGGGCTGTCATGATGACCACCTGGAAATCAAAATTTACCAATATGTTACCATTTGTGGCACTGAGGACTATAGACCAGGACCAGGAAAAGAGATTCCACCTCAACATTAGGAGGAACTTCCTGACAGTAAGGGCTGTTCGACAGTGGAATACACTCGCTCAGAGTGTGGTGGAGTCTCCTTCCTTGGAGGTCTTTAAGCAGAGGCTGGATGGCCATCTGTCGGGGATGCTTTGATTGGGAGTTCCTGCATCGCAGGGGGGTGAACTGAAAGGCCCTTGTGGTCTCTTCCAACTCTATGATTCTATGATTCTATGAGAAGAAACAAGAGATGCATCTCAAGATGTTGAAAAGATGGGCTAGCTATTACTTTAAAAGCCTGATGTCTTTCAGTTTATGTTTGTTCCCAAGT